TTATGACAGTGAGATAGAATTCCTTATGACTGTGAGACAGAATTCCTTATGACAGTGAGATAGAATTCCTTATGACAGTGAGACAGAATTCCTTATGACAGTGAGATAGAATTCCTTATGACAGTGAGACAGAATTCCTTATGACAGTGAGACAGAATTCCTTATGACAGTGAGACAGAATTCCTTATGACTGTGAGACAGAATTCCTTATGACAGTCAGACAGAATTCCTTATGACAGTGAGACAGAATTCCTTATGACTGTGAGACAGAATTCCTTATGACTGTGAGACAGAATTCCTTATGACTGTGAGACAGAATTCCTTATGACAGTGAGACAGAATTCCTTATGACAGTGAGACAGAATTCCTTATGACAGTGAGACAGAATTCCTTATGACAGTGAGACAGAATTCCTTATGACTGTGAGACAGAATTCCTTATGACTGCGAGACAGAATTCCTTATGACAGTGAGACAGAATTCCTTATGACAGTGAGACAGAATTCCTTATGACAGTGAAGAAATAATGTAGAAAATAACAATTTACACTTCTAATTCTAAGGAAAACATTGCAGTAGAAGATACATGTACAAACCTGATTGGTTTACCCCCTTTATACATCTTGATTCTTTTGACCGTGGCTTTGTCCCTCATGTTGTTGCCCGTTCCTTTTTCAGTTTTTGGTCGATCTGAGATTTAAAAACATAATTAATCAATAAGGCAATATTAAATTTTACATTTTGACCTACACTTATTCAGAGCAGACTCTGGCTCCATCTCAACCCAAATTTTTCATAAAGAAAAGCTTATGTGAATGAAATTATACCAAGTTGTTAATAGCTTCAAAATTATTACATTGCGACTGCATTTTTCTTTTCAAAGAAAATTTTTGTTGATTGAGAAATTTGTTTTATTTACAGCTCCAGGTAGCCAACTGTTTATTCCATATTTACAACAATAACAACAGTAACCCAGTTTTGTACCAAGTGTACATTTGTTGTTAACTGCATGACCTGCAGATCTGGCTATGTTTTCTGTGTTACTTGAAAGTAGTTTGATATCCCTGCGTTTCATGTTTTTCATCATGCTTACTGAATATATTTTATATGCATCAAGCATGATTGTCTTGTTACCAAGGTATAAAGAAAGTTTCCCTGCACTAGGTCGTAAGGCTAACCACAGGGAGCCCAGGAACTATAATCAACTGTCTGCAGTCTCAATGAGCTGGGGGCGGGGGTTACGAACCACTGCGAGTTTACAACACAGTTGGCTTCGCTCAACCAGTTTTGTGATTGGATACATTCTGAATAGGCCACACCTCCAACTGTGTTGAGCCTTCTGTTCATTAGAATATTCGTAAATGTACTCAATTTGTGTAGTTTTCTTGATTTATTCTGCAGATACCAGTAAATTATAGGTAAGGCTTTGGCGAAATTTGTAAGAGCAATTAATATTCTTCAATATAATATAATATTCTTTATTTTTCATTTTTTTCGTCTGTTTTTTCCAGTTTAAAAAATGTGAGCTGGCTGGAGCCTCCATCCCTAGTCTATTTTCTTACACTGGATACCAGCCAATAACCCAGCTCATTGAGACTGCGTATAGTTGATTATAGTTCCTGGGCTCCCTGTGACTATACACTAAGCTCGATCTGCTGACATAGGCGATGGGATGTTGTTCAATAAAGAAAACATACTATAAAATAAACCCATGGTGCATATATGTGCTTTTTATCTATTTTCAATAAGCCACCTCGGTAAGTCGCGACCCCCAATAAGTCACGGTTTTTGCTTGGATCCCGACAACCGCAACTCAGTTTAGAGATTCAGCTCAAGATACAGGAATGCTACAATGATGTTCTGAGTGGTGACAGTAAATTTAAATACAGTGGACATCAGTTCATCTAGCCCTGAGTACAG